ATCTAATTTCTCCTTACAATATCACCACTGAATCACACATTATTATCATAAGAATAAAGGAAATGATCACCAACTTAAGAAACTCTCGATTTTTAGACAAACTGTTCATGTCAGCACCTCAGTAAATGTACAGAGAACAGTATGGAGAATATGAATTCTGATGTTAGGGTGTGAAGGGTTAATGAAACATAAACTATTGGATGTTCTAAAAAGAGGAGAATTGAAATTCTCCTGCTGTAGTTGTAAGTACATCTAAAATGTTTATCATCAACCAATGTTGGCCAATTGAATGAACAATTATTCTATTAATGATAGCCAGTCTGTCCCCTTTTCTACTGCAGCCACATTGTTATAAGTGACTCAGGTGGACAGATTACATTATGCAAATTTTATGAAGGTACCTCTGAGCTTTGTCAAGTTTTGCAATGGTTAGGGCATCAGTATGAGGCTTGGATTACAGCATTTAATGCTTGGAATTCATCCATTGTATATTCAGGTACCATATTTTCATATAAATGAATTTTTAGTAGAATTAGAATTTAATTGATTTCCCATTTACCATCAGGCTTATTTCCGCTTCTCTCTAGTATCTGGTCTTTACTCCTCCCTGAGAAGTAGAGTTTGGGGGGTGGGCCACAACCTTATATTCCCAAACAATGGCTGGTAATCAAGCCTAATTTACTATTGGTCCAGATCAATCACACAAAGTCAGATGGAGGTTTAGTATTCTAGACAGATGGAATATTTCATGACATGTGTCAACTTTTATGAGTGAGGTGTAGTACTGAAGATACTTCAATCTGAAAAAGAATGAGGTAGCTCTCAAAGATATCTGTCATTGTTTGTGAGATAGAGCATTTTTCTGCAATCCTGCTTCTTGTCAAAAATAATAATATAATGTCAACTGCCCCTGTGACATCAGCTATAAGATTCTGTGTTGGTTTCAAGTTCCAGTTCAATAAAATACAATGCAAAACAATACACTTTATTTTGAGAGGGTAGCCCTTGACAGTAATAAAAGTGATGGCCAGTGACCCTCAATAAAATGAATTCTAAACTCTCTAATATGGGTTAAAGTGATTAATTTTGAATTGTGTACTGGCTCTACTAATTAAGGAGGCGATGATTGCCTACTCAGAGGATGGGACACAAGAACAGGCTGCCATAAACCTACATTTACAAGTAAAAGGTGATTTCCAATATGATCACTATTCTGAATTTTAATCAAAGTTGCAGTTAAAAAGTTCATTGGCTCAGTGTTTTGTTCTCTTCATCGAGTTGTCCAGCTCTGATATCTGGCCAGGATAACTGTTTGCATGATGGTCTGTCCATAGTTTGTTTTGTTTTGTATTATTACAACTATTACTTTTTCAATTCACTGAATGATAGTATTAGCCCTTTAACTCCCATGAGTGACCAAGACAGAATTTCTCCTTACAAGATCAATACAATATCAACCAGATGAGTAATGAGAATAAAGAAAAATATCAATTTGTGAATACTTAGTTGATCTAGTACTAAATTCTCCGAACTAACATTGTAAGAATTGTATGGTTGACAGTAAGGAGAATCACAAATTTGATCTGGGAGTTGAAAGGTTAGATGTAAGGTCAAGTGAAGAGGCACAAAGCAAGTAAAGCAAAGCAAGCATGTGAGATGTGTAAAATACATTTTGCTTCAGGGAAGCAAAATTTTTGCTGTGATGTGAATTACCTTTCTTCATTAATAGGATATACTCGGTAAATGGTCACTTTGAACTTGCTGGGCTTTTGAAATTACCTGTGTGGCCTCTTTATCAGTGATTCAATGAGTTTTTTAATTTGTCTTCTCCAGGCATGAGATGGGTGTCAGCAGCATTCAGTGCAATCATGCATATGAACACATGATTGCAACCGGCAGGTAAGAATCTAACATCAAATGGTCTAAGTTTGGTCTCTATTCATTACTTCACTCCCAAAGTTGAGATGTCCATGCTCTACACAGTCTGCTGTATTCCTTTTAATTATAGCTCTGAGAATTTGATGTTAAGTTAAAAGTACAATGTATCCCTAAGTGATAATTCTCAGTAGGTGGTTCTTTCCATCCACAACCATGTGATGGTGATTTTTGAGTTTCATTTGAAGGAAGCTTCCTCTGAAGTAGTTGTGAGTTGCCAGCATAATGATTGTTTAACTTTGACTTTATAAAATACTTTCTTCTTAACGAGTAGTTAATAATGATGAGTCACACCCATATGTGATAAACTCTGAGTGTTGTTTCACAACATTTCTTTCACTCTTAGAAAAAAGGCTTCACATTGATTTCAAAATAATAATTTACAAACTCTTAACTTGTGCAATCAATTGATGTGGACTTCTGTCCTGGTTTGTTATCAAACTAACAGCTATGATGAGAAAATTCATGTTTGGGATGATAGAAACATGACACGCCCATTATGTACATCACATCCTGGTGGAGGAGTGTGGAGGATAAAGTGGCATCCTTACCATGGAAACACAATGTTAACGGCATGCATGTATGAGGGCTTTCATATTCTTCAGTTCAACAACAACACAGGTATGATTATGCAAGGTTTCAATAACTTTTCCATAATGCCACTGACAATGGTGTAATAGGGGATGTGCCTGGAAAAGGGGCTTCAAGGCTCCTTCCCCTCTTAGGGGGTTTGGGGGGATGCTTCCCCAGAAAAAGATTTGAAATTTAGTAGTATGTAACTCACTTGTGTGAAAGCCTATGCAAAACCCAAAGAAGAGAGGCTGCTTGCAGACCAAACACACAGTGGTAATACTGGTCTTATGGGCTTGAGACCATATTCTCATGTCTAATTTACAAGGAAAAGTAGGGCAGTAAGTAGGGAGAATTATGAAGTGGAGCTTGGGAGTTAAAGGGTTAAGACCACCAGTAACTGGCTTTTATTGAAACCTCTGCTAATGGATGTTGTTTGTGGAGCCGAATGAATCTTTTGGGTCTGTTGGTTTGTTATCTGGTTTGACGGATACTTGGTGAGAATGGCAGGATTTTTCACATACCTGTGACAAAACAATCCATTTTTTGAACTGTAGAGATTTAACTAAGTCTATGCTTTATTTAAGCAGAGCACTGGAATGGCAATTAAGATTGAAGATATCATGGCAATAGGATTTGTCAGATCCCTTACTTAATTGAAAACATAATGTGGGACTTCACAAAGTAAAGTTTTTTGAAAAAAAAAATATGTGTTAATATCAACTTATCAACTTATCAGGCTTTCTTTTCCTTTTTCTAACTACCAGGACATCAAAGCTTGGAAAAAGTGGTTTCTTATAAGGAACAAGCAAGTTTGGCTTATGGTGCTGATTGGTACAGGAAACATATCCAGCTTTCTAGATTCAGTGCACAAGATTGTGAACAAATGGACAGAAATGATGAACACAAAGGGACTGACCTATTACATGAAAGCATTTCTGATACTCAAACTGACATAGTTGCAACTTGTTCATTCTATGACCATGCCTTAAATTTGTGGACTGTGAATAATGCAGTCTCAAGATAGCCCTGGAAATGAAACACAGCAATGTGTTGAGTTCAATCTTCCATCCTTCAGAGAAGGAACAGTGTGGATTTCTGTCTTCTTCATCCCTGATGTCTGACCAGAAGAGGAAACACCAAAGAATTATTCCAATAAAAACTTTTATTTCAAGTCCACTGCACTATCATAGTAATACTAGCTAAAGAATTCTGATGATAGAACATATATCTATACATTCATAATTCAGAAAATTCCCTTATAACATTTTAATTATCATCACTAACTCAATAACAATTCCGTATCTAACCTCAATTTTTTTCAATTGTTAAGAATGTATGTAAAAAGATACCATTACTTATGTAATCATATTTATGAAGATAAATAAAATATTGCATGCAATGAAGACTTGCAGTTGAGTTTCAACTTCATGCATTACTTTGTAGAATTATAAAAAAACCTAGCCCTATGATAAATTGAAACCCAGCAATTATCTGGAAAATTGTAACAAGCATCAGATCACTGATGAAATTGTACAAAATTTTTCTTATGATACATTTTTGAAAATCTGCTTGATAAACTTGAGTTGATGCACAATGGACAAACTGCATCACATAGATGACAATTTTTTCATGGTGTCAGCAACTTCTAAAATCTTAATAATGTTGTTAACCTTGTAAAGGTATTGGAAACTGTTCTTTACTTGATTGTAACTGCTGATCTTTGGCTGAAGTGATCTCAGTAAAATAATTTACCACAAAAATGATTAACAAGACCTGTTTGATATGAAATGAAATTGTCAATGGAGCATAAAGTTATGCCTCAATTAGTTCATGGAATGTGTCCCAGCTTAATTACCCCACTAGGCATCAAATTTGAGTCATCTAGAAAATATTGCAGCCACAAACAATTTCATTTTAATCCTTTCACACCCAAAAATGATAAATCTGTCCTAAGAATAGTGGTGCATTTTATGTTATCCAATCTGATTGAGGTGCCTAGTTAAGGTAACACAACATTATCTTACCTAGTTTTAACCCTTCACACTCTAACATCAGCATTCATATTCTCCATACTGTTCTCTTTACATTTTCCATGGTTCTGACAAAGAGAATTCTCTTGACAATCAGAAGCTTCTTAAATTGGTGATCATTTGCATTATTCTCATGACCATTATAATTGATTCAAGGGTGATACTGTGAGGAGAAATTTGAAGCAAATCACTCCCAGGTTAGAAGGTTATAGCTGAAGGGGAGAATAACTCATCAGATCTTGGGAGTTAACATGTTGATAATTTGATGAAAACAATATACCTGTTAGTGTAAATTTCTACACCCCCCCCCCCCCCCCCCTCCCCTTCCCTTACAACTATATCATTCAATAACACTATTCCATGTTAAAAAAAATGCTTATTTCATTATGACCCAGCAAGCTGGGAATGTGAGGAAGACCAGGTTAAGAAACCTGGAACAGTTGAACATTTCCACCTCATGATATGATGTCAGCCATAGTATGAGGTTTAGGTGTGGACCTAAAATTCACTAACTCCTCATTCACGTCATTCTGATCTGTAATTTTAACACTTAATTTATGCATTAAACCTGGATGAAACATGGTACTGGAAACTGCTTTCTTTCCCTCGGATTTCATTACTAGCCATGTAATTATTATTTCTTATCAATCAATAATAATTTGAAGGGCTCACCTCTAGTTTGTGGTTTGTGCCTATGATATAATTTACAATTCTTAATTATTATTTTACAAAATTTCAATTGTCATGGTTATTTACTTTTAATAAATAGTGCAAATGGAAATTTAACTTGTTTCATGGGAATAGTAAGAACATAACCTTTGCAAAATAAGCTAGCCAGTAAAAATCAGGCAGCAGAGGAAACTGAAATGTTCAGTTCTTTAGGTGTTGCAACGTATAACACATTGACAATATTAAAAAAAGAGTTATATACATGTTGGGCAAATTGAGATTGTGTCTGCATAGTCTTAACCAGTGCAAAGTGAGATGGCAGAAATTTCTGTGCTACAGGCATGTAGCAATTCAGATTCTCTGGTATCCCACAACTTCTGACATTAATTTTTGGTGGTAATATTTTACAGCTGGTAATATTGACAAATGACCGATAATGATGTCTGCCAGCAGACAAAAATGGCATCTGCTTTCACTATTACCAGAATAATTGAAGCATGACATAGAACTTAAAAAGTAGAAAATTGACAGGAATGAACTATTTTGTTTAGCTAAACAAAGACACACCACAGATCACTAAACAATCTAAGTCACCTGTAATGGAATCTTTGCATCCTCCACAAAAATTCTTATGTCCCACAGAGATGAAACTTTGTTGAGATTTAAAAACAATTATTTTTTTAAGATTGTTTGTGAAACAAGTATGTCATCCCTTTCACTAAATCCAAAATTTCTAGCTCTGTGACTTGAACTATGTTGGGGAATGACAATACTGGTAGCACTTAACCCTTTAAATCCCAGAGGCGACAAGTATATAACTTCTCCCTATTATATCCATACATTATCCAGCAAACAGGTGATGAGAATACTCAAACTTAACAGGCATAAGTTGTTATCTTGATCTAACACCAAATTCTCTCAAATATTTACAAGGGAATGTGCAGAAGCTGAAGGGGAGAATTAACAATCTGGGAGTTAAAGGGTTAAGAAAGAGAGGCCTGTCAGTTTTCAAATGATGTGAACTAAAAAGTTCTAAAATAAATTCACATTACTTATCAGAGAAAAAAAAAGATATTGCCTTGTTGTAAAGGTTCTCCCTCACGTGCCTACCATTGACTGACTTCTAGAATTGTGTACCAAATTAAATTTCTGCAGTTTGCAATTTTTCCCATGTGTATGTTTAAGAGCAGTAAGAAGCATTGTAATAATATCATTCTTTGCTACTTTTTTCGGTTACGTGTGATTTGGTTGTGCTTGGTGTCTGAGCCCCTCCTGACTGTAGTTGCTATCTGGATGGGTGTGAAGCAGTGCTTACACCTGAAGAGTGACTTGTTGAAGTTGAAATGCTAAGCTGAGAGAAACCACTGTGGCAAGACTCCAGACTTGATAATGATCCCCTGAGAATGAAAATTATGAAACAGCAAATAAGTTTAAAGAAGACACAGAATGTTACAATAAAACGCTGTCACCATAGTCACACAAATCATGTTAAATATATCAGTTATAAAGTTAGAGGGTGATATGATACAGACAATAAGATATCATTTTTCAATTAAAAGCGAGGTTGTTTTCAGTTAGTAAACAAATGTATTTTTCTATCCCCTCTCTACTAGAAAATAGTTTCAACAAATTTTCTATCATGAATAATTATGAACGGGATTTTTCAGTTCACCTATTGTGCACTTCATACAATTCATATACCAATGTATACTGAATTGATAATTTAACCAAAAGGAGTTTAAATGAATGTGAATGTATGAATATCATTTTAAATGAACTGCTGTTTAAGAAATGAATATGGAAGCAATCCTTGCCATCATGAACACTACCCAGGCAGAAGTGAAGAGGAGTTTAAAGAGGAGTTTCTTTACCATGTTTGTACACATTTTTGTGTTGAAACAAAGACTTTCTATGCTTGTAGTGTAATCAACGAAATTTTTGAGAATCAATTCTCAAGGCCTAAGCAGAATGGTTGCAAATAAAATATTAATGGCCATAGACTTCAGCATCCTGACTGCTTGCACAAGACTTGATCTTTTTTCCAGAGTTTTACAAGAATGCATGTCTATAGGAACTGTACTAGACAGTTGCGGTTTTTTTTTTTTTTTTTTTTTTTTTTTTTTAATCACAGTGAAAAATTCAGTCCTCAGAGCACACTACCTAAAATCTCGAGAGGGAAGTACTTCATGATAGTACATGACTTTAGCTCTGGTATGACGCCCATGAGCCTGGCCTGTTGGTGCTCCAGATTTGTACTTCCACTGAAGAACATACACTCCAGGAATGGAACAAACATGGGTTCCCTTATAGAAAGAAACACAAAGATGTTAGTTGGTAGACAACAAAACCATCTTACAAGCTAGAGCGCCTATCCATTGGGAACTCATCAAAAACTGAAGTTGAACTAAGCAACAATGGGTAGTGCTTCTCCCCCAGGGTTAGGATGTAAGCTATTGCAGGATTCACTAAAGTTTTTGTTCAGGTTCCCTGATAGTTTGCAAGTTTATCAGGGCAAATGACAAAGGGCTAACACTTGAAAAGTCCATATCAGGGACTCCTACAATGGCCTGTTTACAATACAATTATCAACTCAGTCATCTTGTAATACCCCCCCCCCCCCCTGTCACAGCACCACTGTTCTTTTAGAAACCTACCCCTTTACAATTTTGAAGAAGGTTAACCCTTGAGCCTTGCAAGATACATACCTGTATAGATTCACCATCATAACAATGCCTTGGCTTTTCAACTACCACTGCATCTACACCAGCAATCACTCCAGACTGGTTAAGAGATGCATCACTTCCAAAACTTGATAAGCTTGTGGTACTGACTGCCTCCCGAGGCCGCTTGTGACGAAACACTGTAAACTGGATATCTCCTTTCATGACATCAAAATCCCACGTGATCACTGCCTGAGATTCTTTGATTGTTACTAGGACCTGTTGGGCAGCAGGTGAAGATGTTAAGTTTACTAGCAGTAATTTTGGTATTTACAGGTTCCGCAGATTGAGTTGATTGCATTTTGTGGAATCTAAAAGCCACTGTCTGCAAGTTTAATGTTTAACATATGCTACAATAATCACTGAAGATTTCAAATTATCTTCAATTATGATCTGGTGTTTGAAAGGATGTTTCAAATGAGAAGGAAAAGAAAATCATTTCCTGGGAAGTCCTAAGAAGACAAGTCACCAGTGGCCAGCTTCCAAAAGAGGCTAATAAAAGATGACAATCATCATCATCATCATCATCATCATCATCTCTCCCATTCTTTCATCTCTCAAATGATCTTGAATGTGCTGGAGTGTAGAAATATATGGGAGGCTGAGGCCCATTATTTAATTAATACAATTTTTTCTGACATTCCATCCCTTACTTCATGAGGTGAGCCCTTGCTAACATGTGTTGTTTGGTAGATTTCACTGCTCCAAGATTCCTCTCCTTCACTGAACTCCAGAGATCTGTATAGAGTCTTTGGGACAAGTCCCCCCTCCTTAATTTGGCACTTTAAAGGAAAATAAAGGAAATCTTTTTAAAATTACACCTTAATAACTTCTTATTAAAAGTTAGGTAATTCTCAGGGAATTGAGAGTTGATAGCACTTTTTTTTTTTAACCTTCATAGAAAAGGAAGTCACCAAGATATGAAAGGACACCAGTTTACTCATTGAATAGAATCAAAAGGAAAATATCAAGCAACATTAGAACTGCCCAGAGAAAAACCTTTTGTTCTAGCCAAGCAAAAAATTAGCTACAGAAGAATCTTTACTCTGAGTAATGCTGACGTAAATCAGCTCTACAATGACTGCTCGCAGAATATCAAATGACAACCCTGTTTCATTGTTCCCTTTCTAATATTTCTCACCTCATAGGGTCCACCAAGAAAGTCTGGGATGTATTCTGCTGCAATGTAGTCAGTCAAACCACCAGGGCCCTAAAATAAAAAGAATAAATGAAAACATTGATAATGACAAAAAGAAGTTAACAAAAATGTTACAGAGAGAGATGGAAGAGTACTATATTCTTAAAAATCATGTATTAGAGTTCATTGTATGCTGATTTTTAAAATAACTCAACCCTTTACTGCCTAAGAGTGATAAGCATCAAATTTCTCCCAACAGTATCACCCCTAAATCAAACATTAAGTTCATGAGAATAAGGGAAATCATCAGAAACTCAAGAAGCTCTTGATTGTTAAACAAGTTCTCCTTGCAAGCACCATAGGAAATGTATAAAGAACAGTATGGAGAACTTGCATACTGATGTTAGGATGCAAAGTGTTAAGGTTCCTTTAATTCCCTTAAAAAATTTTAGGTCATGTTAATTACACAGCTTACTTAAACTGATGTTCCAGGGAAAGAAACAGAGTTCTTCAGAGTCATCCAAAGTTTATGGTGGTAACAAATGGGTTTTTTCAAAAACTAACATCAGTCATCATCATGAGAACAGTCCTTTTCAGGATTACTCTCAAGGGCATAAAAAGACAAGAAAATCAATTGCTTACTATCATTACCTGGTAGTCATTTCCTCCATAAATGAGGAACTTGTTCCTTGTGTTTTCATCAATGAAAGGACTGACCAGTGTCCACAAAACACCAAATATCCTGGGTGCACGTACAATCAGCAGTCTGCCCATTGTCTCAGGGTAGTTACATTCAACAACCTCAATCACCTTCAATAAGGCTTTGATCCCTGATAAGAGAAACAATTTCTTGATCAATAAGTTGCCAAACAGTTTTACACTGAGCTAAAGAGGTTGTTTAAATAGGGTCATGTAAGAGGGAGAATTTTGTAACTTCCTAACCTAAAAAATATCTAACTCTTTATCACTGTAGTTTAAGTTATAACCTATGTGTAACAAAAATGCACCAAGTCTTAAAATTTGTCTTCTAATCAGAATCCAAAACTCTAAATAATTACTCTTAAAAACTTTTTAAGTATTTTCACCTTATTACCTTTGGCAAGAAGTCAACAAAAATAAAGGAAGTAGTTCTGATGACATTATAACATTAAATCCATCACCTGTATATTTGTTAAAACTGATCAAAGAACTGTCAACTCACCAGGTCTCCAAAGATGCCTCATGCTTAAGCCTTCCAAATCACAAACACACGTCCATGAGCTGTAACAAAACAAACATTAATCAACAAATATGTCTATTTTGTATGAAATCACTGTGATACAAAACAGCAGCTAAATAATCTTTCTTAAGCCAACTCAACCTATATGTAGAAATGATCCCCCAGAGGACAACAAACCCTATGGAATTTCAATCAAAACCCCCACATGCAAGATGTGAACTAGCCATTTTAAATAAGAAAGTATTCCATAACACTCAGACCAGAAGAATATCTGCATAAAAACAACAAGGGGGCATAACTTTGAGAAAAAAATTAATTGTTCATGAGGAGAGGGAGATAACACCCACAAGGAGCAGAGAATGCAAACAGCCACTGACAAACAGACAGAAATCTAGTATATACCAATTCCATAAGCTTGAGTCTGATGAATTTTGCCTTGTATTACCTGATTGGATGCCCTGTTTGTTTTGTCAGTTCTTCAGTCATTCTTAGTCCTTCTTCATTAATTGAGACAACCTTGTTAAAAATTAAAAGACATTTGTAAAATTAATAGTCAGTTCCTCAATCATTTATTGAATCATAAGAATTTGAAGCTTTGCACATGTTTTTGTTCCAAAACCCAAACACAAGAAAGTTTTAAAATGTATGATCATGAAATTAAATTGTTTGGTTTAATCAGCTGAGTTGATAATGTAAATTGGCCACCATAAAGAGTTTCAAAGCTGATGTTGTGCATTTGCCTTTTGTCATTTGCTCTGTCAAAGGGCTTATGCTGGAAACATCACCTTTGAAACTCTTTACAGTGACCAATTTACATTATCAACTCAGCTGATAAAACTAAATTATTTTTTAATACTCCCCCACTGATGCAGCACCACAGTTTCCTTTTTAGAAACTTACCCCCTTTATTCATAACTGTTTGCTTTGAGTGTTAATTAACCCTAGGCAGATATGGCTGTGATCACAAGTCCCCACAAAGACTTTGTAGAAAGGATGGCATATCAAGTTATTTTGTAGTAAATGATATGAAAAACTTACATGTTTAAGAAAGCCATCTTCACCAACAGCTTTAAGGAGACCTTTCACGTCCATGGACCCTAGCCGGAGTATGTACAATGGGCGCCCCTCTATATGAATCAGGAATAGGGAAAAATCATAAAATCTCCAGAAAAATCTATTGGCACAAGGCAAATGCAAAAGTACTGTCAAGCTGACGTAAAATAATAATTTAGTGATTGATTGAATCTGTTAGTCCTGAATCAATAGACCTTGCAGTTCAAGAATATTAATACCAGTAACATTTATAAGTTACAGTGTTCATGTACCTCAATTCATCATACAGCCGTAGTACCTGGTATTCAAAGCTTAATCAATAGAGAGTTTTCCACATATCAGAAACATTATGTCTTTTGTTGGTAATACTGAACATGCAAATATTTTGGCATACTAATCATGGGCTGGAAGCAGGTAAATGAATGACAAAAAGTGAAAAAAAATTGAAATTAATGATCATAGTACTTGTGGATTTTTTATTATTAACAAGTTAATAAACTAACTAACTCCTTCCATCTGAAATGCATGTAAGACACTCAAAAAAATTTCTCAGCCAAAATTCACAATTCTCCCTTATTATTTCATTATTTTACACACAACAGGTAAGAGCAATCCTTTTATGGGTAAAATTTTCAAGAATTCCAAGTGATTTTAGGTAGCAATAAGAGATACTACAGGCAGGAAATGTTATTGGTTACTACCTGAAAAGGAAAACACTGACAGGCTTATGCTTATCTATTTTGATTAACATGAGAAATAATTTGATTGGCCATATGAATTCTGTTGCTGCAAGTTTGCTATGAAGGTATACAATCATGTAACGTCAGTAATGCTAACTGAGGAATTTGGAGAGAATTTTGAATAACCACATCAATCTTTCATCTAAGGAATTTTTAGTCACAACATGGCTCTCACCTTTATCTCTGTTATGCCATCCTCCACTGTAGTAGCTCAAGAGAGGTTCAGGAGGCTGCCATATCTCCCTTATGTTGTCTATATTGTGATGGCGTCGCCACGCCAGAGACTCACACAGCATCTCATACACCTTAATGGGACAAAAGGAAGTTTCAAAACAATGCCATACATGCAACCAACATTATTATAGAAAAGCGCATCAAACTGCAAGAACACAATGTTCCATTAGTACCTTGTCTAAATTGAAGTCTCGTGCTCTGAGAAATCTTAAAAGATGAGCATCATTAGGCATCTGTCAACGAAAAACAATAAGTTAGCATAACTGAAACATCTAAATACACTGACTCTCCTGTAAAAAGCTCTGAGGAAGTTAATTTAAAAAAATCAAGTACCTTTCCTTGATGTGTAGCACTGAGTTTCTTGCGCAGCTATAAAGAAATAACAAGTAGAACACAGTAATTTAGAAGAGTTTTTTTGTTTTTACTTTAAAAGGAAAAAAGGAAGCACAACCAGATGCAACAAGACTATTACATGATCCTAGTGCTGACTAGTCAACAGCTGTTTCTCTTACAAGTATACTCAATATACCTATAAGCTGGGTAGAAAATAGATTGAAGCAAAGCTTTGGTGGTACAAAAAGTTATGATGCAAGGGCCACAACATTTTATTCTACATGCCTGAAACAAGGCCAGTTACCTGAATAAGTTGGTTCTCTTCCTTGGGACTAAGTTTTCCAAGGAACCTCTGAATGTAGTCATCATCAAGCTTGTAGTCTGAAAATGCAAAACAAGCTGACTTAAGAAAATTCTTACCGACAATTTTTTTACTAACAGTCATTTTCCAAATCCACTTAAACCCTTCTGAATGCTTCTATCATTTAATCAGAAAGACTTAACAAGTGCAATGTCGGATCAGTATTTTGAGGTTTTTTCAGCCAAGTATATATTCAATGCAACTTAACTGCAGCAAATAAGAGGAAATCTGGTAAGTTAGAAAAACACTACAGATGCAACTGCTAAGAAAACACAGACTGAAATGGCTTTTAATGACGATTTTGTGAGTTTGGCAAAATTTATGAAGGGACAAAAACCATGGAGTACCTTCCATAAACATGCAGGTAATGTCTACTACTTTTTTTTCTTGCACTATAGAAAACAGCTTTCTTGTGAAATGAATTGAAAATTGAACATTCAGTCAAAAATTTCACTTTAAATAGCTTTCTAGCAATGAAAATGCCAAAAAATATTTTCTTGCAATGAAATAACCCTAGGTTCATGTTCACATTATTCATCATAATTTTCATCAAATGCAATCTTATATCTGTTTTGTGCCAAGTGCTGCACAAGGCACAATGCAGGACAACAGCATACAAAGTTAATTGATTGATGATCAAGTCCTTTTCATTTTACTAAGCAGGGACAGCTTATCTATGAGCATTAGACACATTTGTCTTCTACCAAAGCAGGTTATTATCAGATCATGAGCTGCTCTTTTATTGAGTTTAAGCTGATGCTAGAGCTAGTACCTGTGGAAACGTTTCTTTCTTTCATTCTTATCTAGAACTAATTCAGTACAAGATGCAAGGCATACAAGTTTGTAACTCTATAGAAAGAATTAGTTCTTGACAAAGTCAATTAATATGCAATTTAGTTCTACAAATATAAATATTCAAGCACATTTTGGAAACATATTGCCAAAAGAAAAATTAATTGTGTTAATTTTTCAAGGGCCTTAAAAATGGTCTGAAATGAAGAAAACATTTTTCACCTTACCATATATTTTAAAACAAGTCAATAAAATTTATTATCTCATGACAAAGAAGAACTAAACCACATTCTAAAATGGTTCACTGTATTCAGTACAACAAAATGTTGATGCCACCTTTACTTAAGCTGAACATTTCATAGCTGTGTAACAAAATACATTATAGTTTAGGAAAAGGTGACAGAAAATTTTTGACAAAACCTCGTACTTAATGCTGGATGAAATTGTAAGAATCCTGTAAAATACCTTGCTGGGTTGCCTGGTGTGACTTCATTTGTAAAGTATATGTTCACTGCTCTCTTGGGAAAAGGAATTAAATATAGCAACTGAAGCAAATGAGCCATAAACGTGTTCCAAAGTTGTCCTTTGTTTAAGTGTTGTATGATTCAGGCCTGTTCATGTCCACTTCATTTGGATTTCAATTGTATTTATTGTTGACTAAATTAGGATCCTTGACGTCAGAAATTCAAATTAAACTCAGACAGCATGTCCACAAAACCAGATGTTCAAGAATATTATACAAAAACTGTTCTGTAATTGTCATTTTAAATTTCCCTATAAGTTATAAATTTAGAGCTTAATGGCTGCGTACCTATATAAACATGGCTTTAACTTCTGCTATTGCTACATGACTGTATACCTATTTTTTTAATTGCTGGTCCACTTTGTTACTCATGTTTTCACATGCCTTTTCCAATTTCATTCTGGCTTTTTGTAAATTTATCATTTATTGTTTTTTCTTTGGTTTAAGTTTGTCTGTTGCAAGACAGAGTGTATTTTTCTTTAAGCAAAAATTATGAAAATCAACTTGTAAAAATGAATTATACTTATCACATGTAAATTATTTTACAACAAAAATAAAGCCTAAAAGTTTTGAACTTATGCTTTCATGTGAATTTATGGAAGATGAGATAGTTGAAAAATTTAAATGATACTCTTGGCAAAGTTAAACATTAATAATCCTTATTGGAAGGGGAACTACTTTGAACTGTGCTTCTGTCAACAACAAAATAAAACTAACAACTGTTGATCACTCCAGAAATTATTGAAATAAATGTAAATGTAGTAAATAAACAATGTATAACAAGCTTTATGATATTTCTTACTTCATCACCACAAACAAGGTATTCATTAATGGTATAAATTTAAGGTTACACGTATTTCAGTATTAAATTAATATGTGATTCACAGAATCACATATGATTTACAGTTGGTGGACAGCTTTTCACAAAATATACATTTAGTAAATTAAAACATATCTAGTACTTTTATTCTTTCATGGTTACTGTCGTTATCATCAAAACATAGGTGAATGTATGGGTAAGGAGTATCTCAAATTTGTTGCAGCAAAGCACAAGTCTTTTCCTGTTACCAAGCATGCCATCATTACGTGTTAGACAAGGTCAAAAGGTATGTTTGTTCAGGAAACCACTTTCCATGCAGGCATAAACTAGGCTAAGAGTAGCACAGGAAAGTCACATAGCATTAACTCACTTCCTGCACCCATTGAAATCAACCACCTGCATTGTTCTCCCTCTCATTCTTGATTACAAATTAAAAGATTTGGCAAATACAAATGCCTTCTCCTACAGTAAAGCTGCCTCGTAAAAGAAAAAAAAACTTTCTGAAAACCAACCACTAGTCACTATGATATAATCAGAAAATATGAAACAAAAATTTTAAATAAAAAATATGTAACAAAAATTTGAACCAAAAAATTGGAAAAACAGCAGGGGGATTTCTTAACAAGAATTTAAGATTATCATAGCTTGTAACTCAATCTTTTCAACAAGCCAAATGTACCAGTATCTAAGTAAAAACAATCTTGCTCAAGCTACTTGCCCTTTGACACCACTCATGACAATTAATTGACTCAAATTACCAAGATGAACAATTTACAACTGAACCCGACAACATTTCCATTATAATACCTCACAATATCCTTGCAGTTGTTAAAATGGTATCCAGTAAATGATTTAAGAGTCAAATTTATATCAATCCTGTTAATATTTTTTAGGGATAAATGAACAGTCTAACATACTGCATTGATTAGAATAACTTTTTTCCACTCATATCTTGGAGTTGTTTTTGAAACTTATATGTTACATTACCCTAAATAACTCAATTTGCCTTGAAAGACCAATGACGGCCAAAATATATCCCCAGGTAACACTGATGTTACAAAGAAGTTATTACTATCCTTTTATCATTGTATGTGTGTTTAGCTGGTTGACCCAAATTTGGGGCATTTTTTAGCTTGAGTTATGATCTTATCTTGATTTCATTGAAAGCTATTTCACAGTAATTGTAATTTTAGGTATGATTTTATTTTTAATCCAGTGGATGTTCATGAATCTACATTAATGCATAGTTTTCATTCTATTATTGAAAGAAAAGCTACAGCAGCTATAGTTAACTAACCACATACTCTCTCACCCTGATAAAGAGCCAACCCTCAAAACATCAGCTTTAAAAACTCCTTACAGTGGTCAATTCATGTCACCACCTCAGTTGATAAAAGCAAATAATCTTGTAATACCTTCCACAGACAAGGCACCACTAACAGTTCTTTAGAAAACTATCCCTCTTTACTCTCTCAGTAGTCAGAAGTTGTGTGCTATCATAAGGATAAATTAATTGGCAACCTTCTAATTAGGTGATCTGAATGACTGAGCACTGCAAAATGGAGAGCTATAACAGAGTGGGGGGACTGGGCACGTAACCACAGTTTTTCATGTTTCCAACTCTTTCTTATTTTTTACAGATTTAAAGTAGTTTTTCAGTATATTTTACACTCACCTGGTCTGGAGGCAAGTGGTACCACATCAGAAGCTTCTATTGCAGAGCTTGCAATAGGAAGGGCATTACCATCCTCCTCTGTTTGGTCTTCACTACTTACAGCTTCTGCACTCTTTGTTCTCGGGCGTCCACGAGAATTCTCAAAGGGAGCCAGATATGTCACCCCTTCACTAATCAACTCATCAATGTAGTACTGAATCACTTCTTTTCCCTGATGAATGATAACGTAAGAATTTCTTGTGTCATAAAACACAACATTTGATAATAATTTTTTTTTCTGGTAAAAGGATCTGTGGATACTGGGACTTATCAGTTTCGCGATATTAGTGTTAAACACTTGGTAAAACCCTTGCAGCTTGTGAAGGTGGTGATTTAAGTGAACTAACGAGAGACAGATGGTAATTCAGCTTGTTGACTGCAGCTACTGTTAAATTTCACAACATAAACTACCCCTAAAGTACTACGTAACATAAAATAAGGAATCAGTAAGCCGATGAATGGTAAGTGCTTACAGCACAAGTTCCCAAAATGTGATGTTCATTAACTCAACCTCCTGTAAACTCAAATAACAATAATTTTCTAAATAAACTGAGGTACTACCTTGCTGAGAAAAGGGGGGAATTGAAGAAAATTTGGTCTTATCATGGTATTGGCCACTGTAGAGAGTTTCTAAAGCTAACAGTTTTTCACCAGAGTATGAGGGTTAGGTGGCTGCTTAGAAGAGATACAGGGGAGATAAATTTCT